AATCGGCTCCTTGGTGGTCTTTGGAGACTTCGTGATCTGGACGCAACAGGGCAAAAAGGGAAAAGGGAGTAGGGGAATAACAGGTGCGGGCCAGGCGAGCTAGATTGCTGGAGACTGCAGGCCGAGGGAGATGGGGGAGGGCTCCTGATGCCTCAACTTCCCGGCCTCTGGGGTCCAAGTGTTTGGGGGTTGGAGTCCAATTCATTTCTCACAATTCAGGCTCCCATCCAGGCTTCCACATGAAGTTTAGTTGCTGGATGTTTTTAGGCTCGTTTTGGCTGTTGCTGTTTCTCACTTTGTTTTTAAGTAGCTTGATAGTTTTGAGTGCTGGGTAGGTATAATATAGGATGTGACTATTGGAATTTTTCTCATGATTAAACAGGTTGAGTTTCAAATCAAGGTCAAATGCTATAATTTTTTTTTTTCTTGGCTATCCTAGGGGTTGAACCAAAGGATTTGAGCATTCTAAGCAAATGATTTTCCAATGAGCTCTATTTTTAAAATTTTGTTTTGGGACAAAGTCTCACTAAATTACCCAGTCTGAATCTGACCTGGAACAAGTTATCCTCCTGCCTTAGCCTCCTGATAGCTGAGATTACACGAATGCCACTGAGCCTGGCTGACATTTTTGAAGAATATAGGCCAGTTGTAGAAAGCCCTCCAATTTGATTTTGCTTGATAGTATCATCATAATTAGATGTAAGGTATCCATTGGGGTGGGTACATTACACATGTGATACTGTTGTCCTTGGGGTGTGTGTGTGTGTGTGTGTGTGTGTGTGTGTGGTACTAGGGATTGAGATTGAATTCAGGACCTTCATAGTGAGCTATATCCCCAGCTCTTTTTTAATTTTTATTTTGATACAGGGTGTTGCTAAGTCACTAAATTGCCCAGGCTGTGCTTGACCTTGTGATCCTCCTGCCTCAGCCTCCCATGGTGCTGAATTACAGTTATGTGCCACCATACGTACATGCTCACTGTCCCTGGAATGAAAATTATGCATGTATGTTTAAGGTTTTTAATATATGTTGCCAAGCAATTCTCCAGTTATACTAGTATACAATGTTCCTTGTAGTGTATGGCAGAAAGTGCAGATTTTTAGTTTTTATTTATTTATTTGGTTTTATTGAGACAGAGTCTTGCTGTGTAGTTCAAGCTGGCCTTGAACTCATGAGGATCCTCCTGCCTCACTCAGCCTCCCAAGTGCTGGGATTACAAGCATGCACCATTATGCCTGGCTATTACAGTTTTTTTCAGTCTCCATTTATCTATTTACCTACCTGATTGTTTGGGGGCCCTAAAGGATGGTACACATATGTGAGAAGACTGGTAATGTTTAGTGAGTTTGTTTTGTTTTGTTTGAGATGGTCTCACTTTGTCTTTCAGGCTGGCCTTGGACTCAGAGTGGTAATGTTTTGATAAGGAAAGGATTTTGCCACAGAACAATAAAAGGAGCAGCACAACAGAAACCATGTCATTGAATTTAACTTGATCAGTATTTTATCAACGAAACTAAAAGCAGATGACAGGGTTGTCTCTTTTTGTTAGTTTTTGCATTAGTAGCTTCTTTCCTCACCATCCCTGAAAACAGATTTCCAGAATTCTGCCTTCCTCTGTACATCCTCAAGCCAGGATAAGGTGGCAGTAACTCATTTGGATTACAATTCATTCTATTTCTTTTTATGATATTCTGAAAATGACTGGATTTAGAAGTGGGAGTAGTAATCTAATGCCACATATCAAATAATTTATGAAATTGATGCCATAAATAGCTGTAGCATTTTCCAAATCAAATGTGCCTTTTTTTTTGCCTTTGTTTTTATTTTTTTATTATTTATTTATTTATTTTGGTACTGGGGATCGAACTCGGGTCCTTGTTTTGTTTTTAAAAACACAGCACAATGGGGGCCAGGGATTTAGCTCAGTGGTTCCAGCGCCTGCCTCACAAGTGCAAGGATACGAGTTCGATACCCAGTACCAAAAAAAAAAAAAAAAATAGAACAGCACAATGAACACTTGGTGTGGTGGTGCACTCCTGTAATTCCAGCACTCAGGGAGGCTGGGGCAGATTAATTGCTGTGAATTTGAGGCCAGACTGGGCTACGTAGTGAGACTTTGTCTCAAAAAAT